GAACAGACGCATTAAGCCACACTGCCGCATTCATCATTTCAAACGAATAGTCCGCATTATGAGACGCTCTGGAGAGTAAAACGCACAGATCTGGTCTCACACACACAAACACACGCACACACAAAGACAAAGATCCCCCCTATAGCCTTAACGGACTTTAGGGGCAAGTGCTGTTAGCGAGCACCTATGAAGGCCGCCACGGCACACGAGGGGGTGCGTGGCCAACACCACGCCCGGCCGCCTTTGTCTCCCCAGTGGCGATGTTTACACAACGCAACAGGTACTCATTTGAGGCTGAGTCGACCTAGGGGAGGGCCCAGTACCGGTTCAGATAATCGTCACTGGGTGTTGGTGGCCGTGAGCGGGAATCGAACTCGGGTCGCCGGGTTCGTAGCGCAGCGCGCTAACCGCTGCACCACCGCTCCCCATACAACATACACGAACACACACTCACACACGTACAAAGACAAAGCTCCCCCGTACAGCCTTTAACATACTGTTGGGGGTATCTGTGAGCGGGTCCAAATTAAGGCTGGCACGGGTTTGGGTGGACAGCACTACGCCCGGCCGCCTTTGTCTCCCCAGTGGCGATGTTTACACATGGCACCAGGTACTCATTTAAGGCTGAGTCGATCCAGGGGAGACCCAGGACCCGTTCAGATATTCGTCACCGATGTTGTGGTCGCGACTGAGACTCGAACCCAGCCCCACCGGTCCCGGGCCTCCCCTAGGTCGACTGAGTCTTAAATGAGTACGCGGTACGGGGGTGTAAACATCGTCACTCGGGAGACAAAGGCGGCCGGGTGTGGTGTTGGTCTCCCACAACCATCATAGCTGCTCGCTAACAGCACTTGCCGCAACAGTCTGCTGAGGCTATACGGGGGTCTTTGGTGTGTGTGTTTGTGTGTGTGTGTTTGTATTTGTGTGTGTATGTTTGTGTGTGTGTGTTTGTGTGTGTATTTGTGTGTGTATGTGTGTGTGTTTGTGTGTGTGTATGTGTGTTTTTGTGTGTTTGTGTGTGTGTATGTGTGTATTTGTGTGTGTGTTTGTGTGTGTTCGTGTGTGTGTTTGTGTGTGTGTGTGTTCGTGTGTATTTGTGTTTGTGTGTATTTGTGTGTGTGTGTTTGTATTTGTGTGTGTGTGTTCGTGTGCATGTGTGTATTTGTATTTGTGTGTTTGTATTTGTGTGTGTGTTTGTGTATTTCTGGCTAACCAACCCTCATCACCTCGATGGTGTCAGATGGCAACGCCACCACCGCCGCCGCTGCTGCTGAATCGCTGAGCAGTGCCAATGGGAGGGAAGTCGTCCCGATGTCAATCAGCTGCTGAGCCCCACGGCGCTCACAGCCACATCAGTGACCAATGGGGGGGGGGGGCATTGGACTGGTGTAGGGGAGTGGGGGCCCCCCCACACCCCCACCATGAATTAGTCCACAGAGGAAGAGACCAAAAGTCGGCTCGTGTCAAAGACCCCCTCCACCCAACCCCAATCGGGGTCCCTCCAGAAACAATAGAAAACCACTGCGCTTGGCCACAGAGGAATGCCCGAATCCTCGCTGCAGAGGAGAGGCTGCAATCGCTCTGTCGGGAGCTGGACCGGTACCGTCTGGCTCACTATGGAATAGAGGAGGACTAAGTTCTTGTTTTGATTTGAAGCTTTCGTGACTGCAGGGATTCGTGTCCTTGGTTCTTTCGGTAAAGTCACGTATAAGGAAAACAATAAAATAATAAAAATATAAGACAAGAAAATGCTCACGACGTTTCGACTGCAACACAAGCAATCATCATCAGGTGTGAAATCCACAGCAAGAAAATTTGAAAAAGTGGCGTTAAGAAAAAACCGCCACTTTTTCAAATTTTATTGCCGTGGATTTCACACCTGATGATGATTGCTTGTGTTGCAGTCGAAACGTCGTGAGAATTGTATTGTTTTATTAGTTTATTATTTCCCTTCTACGTGACTTTACCGAAAGAACCAAGAATATAAGTTATTGTTGTTTTGTGAGTGTGTGATAGTGCGAGTGTGTGTGTGATTGTATGTGAGTGATTGTGTGTGTGATTGTGTGTGTGATTGTGTGAGTGATTGTGTGTGTGATTGTGTGTGTGATTGTGTGTGTGTGTGTGATTGTGCGAGTGTGTGTGTGTGTGATTGTGTGTGTGATTGTGTGAGTGATTGTGTGAGTGAGTGATTGTGTGTGTGATTGTGTGAGTGATTGTGTGTGTGATTGTGTGTGTGATTGTGTGAGTGATTGTGTGAGTGAGTGATTGTGTGTGTGATTGTGTGTGTGATTGTGTGTGTGTGAGAGTGTGTGTGTAATTATGTGAGTGATTGTGTGAGTGAGTGATTGTGTGTGTGATTGTGTGTAAGTGATTGTGTGAGTGATTGTGTGTATGATTGTGTGAGTGATTGTGTGTGTGATTGTGTGTGAGTGACTGTGTGTGAGTGATTGTGTGAGTGATTGTGTGTGTGATTGTGTAAGTGATTGTGTGTGTGATTGTGTGAGTGTGTGATTGTGTGAGTGATTGTGTGCGTGATTGTGTGTGTGATTGTGTGAGTGAGTGATTGTGTGTGTGATTGTGTGTGCTAGACCAAATCTGTGCAAAGTTATCGACGCCGGGCACAAGTTTGGGCGTGTGTCTCACTTTGCGAACGTCTTACAATACGGAGAATACGTTGCAAACACAAACACACACACACACACAAAGATCCCCCGTAACAGGACCCTGCGGGGTGGGCTGGTAGGAATAATACTTAGTACCGGTACAGAGATATCGACCGGGTATAGAGGAGTTAAAGAAAAAATTACTGTATTCTAGTGTAACGTTAATTAAAAGTGTTTGTTTTGACAAGAAACGCTGTGAGATTTAAAGACTCGTAGTCTTTCATTTCCAACACCACCCTCAACACCACCCCTCCCACGGACGGACGGACGGACGGACGAACGGACGGACGGACGGACGGACACATTAATCTATTGGTGGTCTGGTCCACTTCGTTCCTACCAGTATAACCTTAACAGACTGTAGGGGCAAGTGCTGTTAGCGAGCACCTATGAAGGCCGGCACGGCACACGAGGGGGTCGATGGCCAACACCACGCCCAGCCGCCTTTGTCTCCCTAGTGGCGATGTTTGCACACTGCACCGGTTACTCATTTGAGGCTGAGTCGACCTAGGGGAGGCCCAGGACCGTTTCAAATAATCGTCACGTGTGTTGGCCGTGAGCGGCAATCGAACCCGGGTCGCCGGGTTCGTAGCGCAGCGTAGCACTAACCGCTACACCACCGCTCCTCACACACACACACACCACACACACACCATACATACACACACTACACACACACACACCACACATACATTCACACGTATTAAGGTGCCATCGTTAGCAAACCCCAACAGGAAACTTGGCATGCGTTGCACGGCAAGATGGTATCAGCGCTCTTGCACAGACATTACGCTCGCAATAGCTGAGATTTGTGGCTATTCCTTCTCAATGTAAGTGGTGGAAGGAGGAGCTAAACCCACACCGGTTGCATTATCATTAGGGGCCCGTCCATAAATGACGTCACGCGATTTTGGACGATTTTGGACGATTTTTGACCTCCCCCCCCCCTCGTCACACGGCGTCACAAAGCTCTGCCCCCGCCCCCCCAAAAATAAAACATGCTTCAAGTCGCTTTAAACTATTGTCATTGTAGTGCGTATTTAATGTGGCGCTGCACTCTGATGTTGTAGGAGGAAACATTTATTAAAAAGTCTATTTAATTAAGCGGAACGTGTTGTCTATATTTATTTAAAGTTGCGCATTTTCATACGACGTCACATTTCTCAAACCTCCCCCCCCCCTCGTCACACATCGTCACAAATGTCTGACCCCCTCCCCCCCTGCCCGCCCCCTAGGTGCGTGACGTCATTTATGGACGGCCCCTTATCATTAGGACTCATCGGCACGGCGTAGCCACCATCATCATCATTGCACCTCCAACCTTTCGCTACTGAGGATAATTGTTGCAGTGGGGAATTCGAAGTGGCAGCGCATCGCAATCCTATATAATAGTGTCACGATTGGGCCCCGCTCGAGAACCCGGTTCGATCGCAGGCAGTGCGGGCTGAGAGCCGGATTCGATCTCGGCGGGATCTTAGCGCTTGTCGGGCTCAGAGTCTCTGACCTCTGACCCGCCCCCCCCTCTCGACGCGCAGAACACGTGCTCACGCATGCTTGTTGTGACGAGTCGAGGGATGGGGCCCACCCACGTGCGTGCGTCCTGCTGCTGTTTTGTAACCTCGGTGAATTCTAGATTTGAAGCTTTCGTGACCGCAAGGATTCATATTCTTAGGTTTTTTTCGGTAAAGTCACGTAGGTAAAACATTAAAATTAATACAAGTAAAATAAAATAAAAACTCACGACGCTTGTGTTGCCTCCGAAACGTCGTGATTTTTATTTTATTTTACTTTTATTAATTTTAATGTTTTACCTACGTGACTTTACCGAAACAACCTAAGAATATAACCTCGGTGAAGTCTCGTCGTTGAAAGAACTACGAGATCGCGAGACGCGCCGTCTCTACCGATCGCCTGGCGCGGCGTGCCCACAGCTGACAGCCGCGCGGAATCACCAAGCAATAGAACGAGGAGACTGGGAAGTCACCAGTGGCTCACGGAGATGAGGCCACCGGCGGTTGTTCGCTTGGTTCAGTGGGGCTTACCTGGTGAAATGAAACGAAATAAAAAATGATTTGCGGAACTAACAATCCCATCCATCTTCTTGGTTCTTTCGGTAAAGTCATATAGAAGGGAGGTAATGAAATAATAAAAATAAAACATAATGAAATAATACAATTCTCACGATGCTTCGGCCACAATGCAAGCAGCCGTCCTCAGGTGAAGAACAGGTCTGTCGGAAAGACAGCGTCTTCAGACGGCTGCTTGCGTTGTGGCCACAACGTCGTGAGAATTGTATTATTTTATTATGTTTTATTTTTATTATTGTATTATCTCCCTTCTACGTGACTTTACCGAAAGAACAAAGAAGATGAATCCCTGCAGTCACGAAAGCTTTAAATCGAAATTTAACAATCCCATCTTTGAAAAAGGCCAACACCGATGGCATTGACGATGACCCGAGTATGTAGCGTGCGTTCCGCAGACAACATTTATTCGCTGTCATCTCGACTTCCCGTACACATCGCTCGACAAAAAAAAAATCACTCGTCCCTCTCTCTCTCTGTCTGTGTCTGTGTCTCTCTCCTCGTCGCTTCTCTTCGCAGCTCGGTTCGTCTTCCCTCGACGCCAGAACTCTGTCCGCCGCGGGACCGTCGCGCTGGGCGTCACCTCCGCCCTCTTTCCGGAAAGGACTTCGAGTTATTTCCTTCGCAGAGTCCAAGCGGCCCCCGAGAGCTTCACCCGCACGTGCCGGGGCACGACAAGCGATGGGTTTCAGATCCTCCGGATTTCAGTTCCTGGATTTCAGATCCTGGATTTCAATTCTTGGATTTCAGGTCCTGGATTTCAGCTCCTGGATTTCAGATTCTGCGTTGAAATTATTGGATTTCAGATCCATGGATCTCTTGGATTTCAGTTTCCGGAATAAAATTCCTGGATTTCAGATTCTGGGTTTCAGATCCCCTGGATTTTCAAATTCCGTCGATTTCAGATCCTGGATGTAAGATTCCAACAAAACGAATATTCGCGACGCAGCGTGGAGAGGCTGTGCGGTTGGTTTCCAACCTCCACCGTGATCATCATCAGCAGCGTCGTCGCCATCATCATCATGACCATCATCAACATCGTCATCGCCACCCGCGTCATATCCTGGGCAGGAAGTGCGTCACGCTCATGCGAGGAGACACCTTGCTGCCACGCTTAGTCCTGCCGCCCTTGTTGAGAGCGATGTACATGCCCGGGTAGGCGTCCGACTCGTACGAGTTGTAGTTGTTGGGGAGCAGGTGCTCCCGGAACTTGCACTCCGTGCCGAACTTATCCTGAGAAAGGTGGAGGGGGGGGGAGGCGGTAGGGGATAAGGGAGGGGGAGCGAGAGAGTGAGCGAGAGAGAGAGTGAGCGAGAGAGAGAGCGAGCGAGCGAGCGAAAGAGTGAGCTAGAGGGGGGGGGGTTTACATAAAGCCAAGTAAAAAAAAATTACGAAATGATGAACGAAGCAAAGTGCCGAATACACCGAGCATCTTCTTGTTTCCACTGATCGTAAAAAAAAGAGAGAAAGAGGACGACGGTACGGTCATCACGAGGGACCGTGATGCTCGCCGCTCGTTTGCAGAGGTCCGCGGTTGTGTTCCGGCAGGCCGACCTGGTTAATACTGCTTGATGTGTTTGTTAAAAATATATATACATGTTGTTAATAATACTACACCGCCATCTGCTTCTTCACTCACAGTGGACGTTCAACATCACGTGGCGTCGTTCGTAAGAGCAGGAGCATCGTGCGCATCGAGTGCACCGGCTCGCGTCGCGCTCCGAATCTGACAACCTTGACCCGATCGGGGAAATCGCTTGGCGGCAGCCACCTCCACGGAGCCGGGGAGTCGAACCCAGGGCCCCCCTTTTTGGTGTCACCCACGGCGCCCCCCCCCCCGTCCCCCCCGCCTGATCGCCGACGCTAAGATCCCGACGGCTCACGCGAAGGCGCCATCCTTCCCTCCCCTTTCTCCCTCCCTCCCTCCCGTCCCTCCCTTCCCATCCCCTCCCTTCCACCCCCCCCTCACTCCCTTACCTCCCTCCCTTCCACCCTCCCTCCCCTCCCATGCCTCCCTCCCCTCCCTCCCACCCACCCTCCTCCCCTCCCTCCTCCCTCCACCCTCCCTCCCTCCCTCCCACCCACCCTCACTCCCTTCCACCCACCCTCCCTCCCCTCCCACCCTCCCCTCCCTCCCCCTCTCTCCCGCGCGCGAGGCACCGTGCGCGCTGCTGCTGCACCAGCTGACCTCACGTCACCGCGTGCCTTGAGAGAGGCAGGGCGCTATTTTAACGGCGCCCATCTGTCAGGATCATGTTAAAAGCGAGAGAGGTTTTTGAAAATGTCGCCGGCCAGGCTGGTGCAAGAAGGACAGACGACGCAAGCGGCTCTGGTCGGGGTGGTGGTACGGGCTCTGGGGGGGGGCGGAGTGGGAGGCTCATAATGGCCGTGTCGCGTTATAGACACTGAGCCAGAACTGCCGAGATCCTGGGTTCGAGCACTGGGTCTGGCTGTTTACGCTGGAGTCTCTGTCGCTTTCTCACGGAAGGTTCGCGATGGCTGCGTCACAGACTCTGGGTCATCCACCGCTGAGATCTCGGGGTTCAAGGCCTGGCTCTGGGTGGTGTCTAGTTCTCTCTCTCTCGCAGGGTTCACAATGGCTGTGTTACAGACACATAGCTGGAATTGCTGAGATCCAGGGTTCAAACTCTGGGTGTGGGTTTCTCGCTCTCTCGCTGTCTCTCTCTCACTCTCTGAAGGGGCTCGTGATGGCCGTGTCAGAGACATTGATCTGGCGCCGTTGCAATCGTGGGTCCGAGCCCTGGGTCTGGGTGTTTACCGCAAGTTTCTCTCTCGCTCTCTCTCTCTCACACAGGGTTCATCATGGCCGTGTCAGAGACACTGAGCAGGGATTTTAGAGATCTCGACTAAACGGGTTTCTCAGGTGTCCTGAGTTGATGACAATAGCCTGGTCATCAATGGCTGGACACACACACAAATCAATCACCATCACACTAAACGTGGGGTTTCACTGGATTTAGCTGCATTGCAGACGTTGAAAGGACGGGTGAGTGCTGGAGGTCGTGGGTTCGATCCCGACCCTGACGCCTGCTGCTGTATATTTGGAGTTCGCGTGGATTTTTTCCCTGGCTCCTCCGGTTTTTCCCTCCACATTTATAAGCATCATCACACGGTCAGAGTGTTTGGCTGCTATACATTTCCACGTGATAAGCCGCTATCATTTGCGGCCTGGTCGCTTCTGATAATGAGCGAATTGTTCCGAGGGCCTTACCTGGTGGTTGTGTTTGAGTCATCGAGTGAGTGGATGAGTGGACGAGTGGACGAGTAGCTGAGCGGATGGGTGGTTGAGCGAGTGAGCGGTCGATTGTTTCGCGGCTGAGTAGATTGTGCAAGTTGGCTACACGTGTAAGCAGTATAGTACTATAGTAATAAAGCAAGTGTAGAATCACTGAGCCGGCATTGATAGCTTGAAAGCTGTTAGCGTGGGGCCCTTGAAAGTGCGGGGCCCGTAGCTACTACACATGCAGCTACAACACGTGTAGTAGCTACTACACGTGTAGCAGCTACTACACGTGTAGTAGCTACATGTGGAGTAGCTACGGGCCCCGCACTTTCAAGGGCCCCGCGCTAAATGCTTTCAAGCTATCAATTCCGGTTCAGTGATTCTGCACTTGCTCTATTACTCTAGTACTATACTGCCTTCAACTTTAACGAACGACTCGGTGTTTAAGTTTAGCGATTTGTCGTATTATCTGGCTGCGTAGCAAATGAAAAAATACAATGACTTTACCGTGCAATCTTCTTGGTTCTTTCGGTAAAGTCACGAAGAAGGGAAATAATAAAATAAAATAAATTACATTCTGACACTGTCTTTCCGACAGACCTGTTCTTCACCTGAGGACGGCTGCTTGCGTTGTGGCCGAAACGTTGTGAGAATTGTTTTATCATGTTTTATTTTTATCATTTTATTATTTCCCTTCTACGTGACTTTAGCGAAAAAAAAACCAAGAAGATGAATCCCTGCAGTCACGAAAGCTTTAAATCGAAATTTTACCGTGCAAGTTAAACATTTATGTATTTTAATATTTACGTGTTTTTTTATTTTTTTATTTCGGGCACCTTTATAACATCATGCTACAGGCCCCGCACTCGCTTCATCCGGCACGGGGGGGGGGGATGGGGGGGCGAGTCGTCGAGGTGGACACGCGTGTGGTGGTTGTGAGCCTTACCGCTGCGTACATCTTCCCACGTGCGTTCATCGCCACGAATCGCCCGCCCTTCACGCCGAACATGCTCACCACGCCTCGCTCCACCGTGGATATCTCCAGGACACCTACGTCACAAACACGCGCGCACGCCACGTACAGGCAGGGGTACACGCGCTGTTAGCGAGCGCCTATTAAGGGCGGAACGGAGAGCGAGAGGGGGGCGGTGATGGCGGGCACCACGGGCTGTGAGCTAATGCGCTCCCCCCCGCCCAGCCCATTCCATGATTCATAATTCATTGTTTGGCTCGCATCGAGTAACCAAAACGTCGTTGTGTCGTACACCCTCCTCCACCCGACGCATGGATATAGTTGTCACGGGAATCACTTATTTAAGATTTAAGATTCCTATATGTTGAATGTGTGCACCTTCCGGCCAAAGTAAATTCCTTGTCTGTGCAAACTTTCATGGCGAATAAAACCCTTTCTGATTCTTATTTCTGATTCTGATCAAAACGGGGCCAAAGTGTTGCTGCAGCAGCAGCAGTAGCAGCAGCATCACCACCGGTGTGGCGCGTTTGTCCATCACGTGACAACTTTATTAATTGGCTGTGTCGGGTGGGGGAGGGGTGTACGACACACAAATTCCACTTGCACAAACCTGACCCAAAAATTAATTGCGAATGGTGATTTTTTTTTAATGGTAATATTGCTCGCGAAAGGCCTCCTGCTAAAATAACCGGTCACCAAAAAAACTACTTTTTGAAAAACGAATTCTCATCGGGCCCTCTGCCTATTGCGTCAACAAGCGCAGCCTCCGACTCCTATGCTCATCAAACATCTACCATGTGTTGTCTCTGGCCTCACCATCCACGTGCTAGGAAAGTGGCCCATTGCCCGAAACGTCACCGCCTGTTACGTATCTAATTTTCGGGACGCACCCCCCCACGCTGCGGTAGTGACGTTGACGCGTTGGGTCGTTCCTCGAGGCTCTCCCAACCCCCCCCCCCCCCCCGTGTTCCCATTGGACGGCGATAACGCAGCCTGGCCCAGTGCCACTGGCACCCCCCCCCCCCCATCCAACACCCCACACTGAGCCCGGCGCAGGATTCTACCCACGACCCCAACGCTCGTTACGTAAGTCAGGGCTCATCGCCCCGCGCAGCCAGAGATTATGCCACAGATTGCCAGCAACCAGAGATTACGCCACAGATTGCCAGCGACCAGAGATTACGCCACAGATTGCCAGCGACCAGAGATTAAGCCACAGATTGCCAGCAACCAGAGATTACGCCACAGATTGCCAGCGACCAGAGATTACGCCACAGATTGCCAGCGACCAGAGATTATGCCACAGATTGCCAGCGACCAGAGATTACGCCACAGATTGCCAGCGACCAGAGATTACGCCACAGATTGCCAGCGACCAGAGATTACGCCAAAGATTGCCAGCAACCAGAGATTACGCCACAGATTGCCAGCGACCAGAGATTACGCCACAGATTGCCCGCGACCAGAGATTATGCCACAGATTGCCAGCAACCAGAGATTATAACACAGATTGCCAGCGACCAGAGATTATAACACAGATTGCCAGCGACCAGAGATTACGCCACAGATTGCCCGCGACCAGAGATTATGCCACAGATTGCCAGCGACCAGAGATTATAACACAGATTGCCAGCGACCAGAGATTATAACACAGATTACCAGCGACCAGAGATTACGCCACAGATTGCCAGCAACCAGAGATTATGCCACAGATTGCCAGCAACCAGAGATTACGCCACAGATTGCCAGCAGCCAGAGATTATGCCACAGATTACCAGCAACCAGAGATTACACCACAGATTGCCAGCAGCCAGAGATTATAACACAGATTGCCAGCGACCAAAAATTATGCCACAGATTGTCAGCGACCAGAGATTAAGCCACAGATTGCCCACAACCAGAGTAACGCCATCGATTGCCCGCATCCAGAGATTACGCCACAGATTGCCAGCGACCAGAGATTACGCCACAGATTGCCAGCGACCAGAGATTACGCCACAGATTGTCAGCGACCAGAGATTACGCCACAGATTGCCCGCGACCAGAGATTACGCCACAGATAGCCAGCGACCAGAGATTAAGCCACAGATTACCAGCAACCAGAAATTACGCCACAGATTGCCAGCAACCAGAAATTAAGCCACAGATTGTCCGCAACCAAAGATTATGCCACAAATTGCCCGCAACCAAAGATTAAGCCACAGATTGCCCGCAACCAGAGATGGGGGGGGGGGGGGGTGTAAAGAAAACTCGTCTCGTCATCCAGAGAGTCCGGCGGGCCGTGTTGGCCCGCGCGCTCCCTCCAAGGCTTGGGCACCGAACGTCGAACATCAATTCTCGTGGACGACACCGAGAGGGCCCACAGACACGTGCCATCGTCACCAGCACCGTCGCAGTTCCTGTGATCACTGTTACATTGTCTTTATAGCTTTGTTTTGGTGAATTTGAGGACGGTTTGGTCTGGCCATGTTTGTTAGTTGTCGTACAGAGCGAGCCTGATAACTTTCATTTAAATTGTCTTACGGTTGTTATTGTTCGACTTGCATCCCACTGGGATTTTTAGCACGCAGCGTTGAAATGCGGTGGGTTTTTTTCTGGAAGACTTTGCTGTTTTTATCTGGATTTTTCTGTTTGCGTGTAGTCACTTTAAGATGTTTCTTGATCATGTTTTGTTTTGTTGCGGTTGCACCCGAGTCAAGAGCCGCATGGCTCACAGGGTTATATACAGTGAGGGAAAAAAGTATTTGATCCCCTGCTGATTTTGTACGTTTGCCCACTGACAAAGACATTATCAGTCTATCATTTTAATGGTAGGTTTATTTGAACAGTGAGAGACAGAATAACAACAACAAAATCCAGAAAAACGCATGTCAACAATTTTATAAATTGATTTGCATTTTAATTATGGAAATAAGTATTTGACCCCTCTGCAAGACATGACTTAGCACTTGGTGGCAAAACCCTTGTTGGCAATCCCAGAGGTCAGACGTTTCTTGTAGTTGGCCACCAGGTTTGCACGCATCTCAGAGGAGGGATTTTGTCCCACTCCTCTTTGCAGATCTTCTCCAAGTCATTAAGGTTTAGAGGCTGACGCTTGGCAACTCGAACCTTCAGCTCCCTCCACAGATTTTCTATGCGATTAAGGTCACGGTGCACAACGCGCTCGCACGTACACCGAAGTTTTGCACACCTCATCCCGTTGTCACGTTCCGAGGGGGAAAAAGGCGCAGCCCCTGAAAGTGCCCGCCCGCGGCTCTGCTGATGGAAGGGCCTCCGCTTGAGCGGAGCTCTCGAGAGTCCACTCTCGTCGAGTGTATTTGGCCTACTCTTTTAACGCCAATGAAGACGGTGGAAGCGCCCACACTATACCCCACCACGAACTGCCTGCCCATCGACTGTAGTGAGGCCACGTTGTTGCTGTGCCGCTGGAAGAGCAGAGGAGGCTTGTGTTGCGACCGACGCTTCGTGTTTTATTTCGATTTAAAGCTTTCGTGACTGCAGGGATTCATCTGCTTGGTTCTTTCGGTAAAGTCACGTAGAAGGAAAATAATAAAATAATAAAAAACCTAATAAAATTATTCTCTTTCGATTTAAAGCTTTCGTGACTGCAGGGATTCATCATCTTGGTTCTTTCTGTAAAGTCACGTAGAAGGAAAATAATAAAATAATAAAAAAACATAATAAAATAATTCTCTTTCGATTTAAAGCTTTCGTGACTGCAGGGATTCATCATCTTGGTTCTTTCGGTAAAGTCACGTAGAAGGAAAATAATAAAATAATAAAAATAAAACATAATAAAATAATTCTCACGACGTTTCGGCCACAACGCAAGCAGCCGTCTTTAGGTGGAGAACAGGTCTGTCGAGAAGGCAGAGTCTGAATGCCTTCTCGACAGACGTGTTCTCCGAAACGTCGTGAGAATTATTTTATTATGTTTTATTTTTATTATTTTATTATTTTCCTTCTACGTGACTTTACCGAAAGAACCAAGAAGCTTCGTGGTTTCTTTTATTATATAATACACTGGTCAACACACTTTTTTCTGGCATAAGGTATTCCAACGCTTTTAAGGCAATTGTGGGGTGCTGATTCCAAATCTGGCATCAGTTTTTGTCCATCACATCAGGTTTTTGAGATATCAAATATTGTATTTTCAATAAAAACTGCAGAAGAAAAATATAAAATAAATGTGGATATCTTCATAAAATGATATTATAAACACACTATCCTAAAAAATACAGCACCATATTTTAACACTAAAGCAGTCACTGACTGGCAACAACTTGCAATCATAAGTGACAGAGTTAATTTCGGGTAAAACCAATGAAAATGGGGTATGCCGATAGCATCAAAATGAGATGTGATAGAGCAAATCTGAGATCAGATTTGGAATCAGCACCCTGAAATTAGTCTAAAACAGCTGCAAAAAAGTCCAGGCCAGAAAAAAATGTTTTTTTTTGTTGACCAGTGTTATTAAATCCTTTATATTAAGTTCACTTGCTTGCTTGCTTGCGCGCTTACGACCGTGCAAATCTTTCGGTCGTTTTTAACCCACTTCCCGTGATCCAATCGAGCTGACATTTTGCACACAGACTCGTTGTGCACGACAATTTATTTTCGTGAAATTTTTTTTCCAAAATTTTCCACTTTTTAGAAAAAATAAAATTCATATTTAATTTAAAATACCAATGTGATAAAAATGAAACTCTTACTCAAGAAAAACAGAAATGGATAATAAAATAAAACCGATGCCACGCATATAAAGGATTTATAGTGAAAAACTTTGTTTTAACGGGTTAATTCTTTTTTTCTACCTACGTGACTCTACCGAAAGAACCAGAGAGAATGGATTCCTGCAGTCACGAAAGCTTCAAATCGAGATTGCGGTGGGAGGGGTTGAGAGCCCTGCCCCGTTGTTTGATCGCCTGCCACGCCGGGGACATGGAGTCCAAACGGCGCCCTCTGGATGTGCACGTCCAGTGCGCTGCTGACCAACGACACCGCGGCGTTCGACTGGATCGGCAACGGGTTTCTTGCAAAGGACACTTTGACGACGAAATTCTACAATTAACACCGG